ATTATTAATTGTTGCCGTGCACATCAAACAAGGATTTCAAAAGGGGACTTTGTGTTTCTGCAAAACACTGCTATTTTTGTCTGACAGTAGAGACAAAATAATTTGAAAATTAGTCTCTTTGGTACTAATCACAACTGTTACTAAAACATTCCCACTGTAGGCGTAATTACAGTCATTTTTCGCTTTTGAGAGAATTAGACATTTAATTCATTATCTCAATGAAGATCTTGAAAGTTTATAATTTGTTAAAATAAAAACATATAATTAACGAAAACATAATGAAATAAATATCTGTTTCTAGTCATAAAAGCTCCACTAACTAGTACAATAACATTCAAGTACAAATTAAAGCAGTAACATTTACAGAAGATATCATAGAATATTTGTTTTATGGGTTGGAAAGACCAGCTATGGGGTCGTTTGAGGTGGGTTTTTTATAAACACAAAGATATATGAATGGATTGCTACAGTTAAATTTGCTTTACAGAAAAAAATAACATTCTGCTGTGGGCAAAAAACAGAAATACGGGAAAATTCTCTTCTGTCTCAAGTGAATTATTTCTGGTGAAAGGCTTCTCAGCGTTTTGCTACAGGCATGCAGCTCTACACACAGAACATTATGTATGTACACAGACAGTTCTCTACTGGGGGTGTCTATCCTGATGCCCTCCCCTATTCCCAGCTCCCCACAAGGCTATTTACAGGAAATAAAGGGAAAACACAGATTCGGAAATGGAAATAAACCCCAAACTAACAAACACCTTAAACATCGGCACAGAAAGACAAGTTGATAAGGATAAAAGCAGCTTCACTCAGTACGTCTCAGCTGCTTCCAGAGCAGAAAGCAATGGGGACGTACTGCTATTATTAGCCCTCCGGATGGGAAGCAGCTCGGTGTGAAGCTGTTGGCAAGACCTTGCAGGATTTTCTTTGCACGTATGCACAGGCACAGACACATAGACAGACAGACCCCCCCAAAACGCTCATGGCGAGCCCCTTCCCTCCACTCAGGTGAGACAGACAGACAGAGAGCACGACGCTGGCGCGACTGTGCGTACTCACAGCTCGGAGTACAAGAAGTGCAGGTTGCCCACATTGTCTATGTAGTTTGCAGGACTTAGCCAAGGTAGGACCAGTAACAGGAGAGCCTTCATTTTCAGTGCAGTGCTGGCACTGCTGCTAGGTTTCCTCCTTCCCACTGTCTCTCTGTGCTGGTGGGACACACAACGAGAAGCTTTCGTGCCAGCCAAGCCCCTTCTAAGCAAGCCTTTCCATTTCAACGCAATGGTAGCACATTATGAATCGAGCTTAAATCCCTTAAACGAAGCTACACTGCAAAAATCATTGACCTGTAAGAGGATTACTCGATCTGACTCTCGGATGGGTAGATGTGAGGGTTTAGGGACAGCACAGCGTGGTTGGCGAGACAGTGACTTATGCTGCAGAGGAGAGCGATGCTCGGGGAAGAGACCTGCCTCCTGCAGGATTCAGAGTGGTTCTTCAGAGGCAGCTGGTATGTTTACATCACTGCCCACAAGCAGATGGGTTACGAGCTAAACTGCATCGTGGAAGGGTGTAGCTGTCTGACAAGGGGGGGAAAAAAAATGCCCCCCGTGGAGTTTTGTAGCAGGCGATATCAGAAGACCACACCTTTTTAAAGTAAAACACTGCAAAAGATCACAGACAACTGCTGGCTGTTTGCATCTCAGTCTGAATTCCCCAAATCTAGTCAGATGTTTTTGTACAAACATAAATCATGTAATAATCCAAGGACATGTCTCTTCTCAGGGTTTCTTTTGAAGGATGCAAGAACAAACATTTTAAATAAGGATGCTTTCGGTGGACTGCTCCATGGTAACCGGTATTTTTTAAAAAATGGTAAGGTTCTCTCATCAATTACAAAGCATAAAACAGCAAGCTCACCTTGTCCCATCAGTGACCTCATCTCTGATCAGGGCAAACTTTTGTTTTCTCTCTCAGAACCAGGACTGGTCTGAACCTGAATAATACACGTAATGTGAGGACGCTGACCACCCTGGTGACCCTAGTACAGTCTACTTTAATTTATTCACTGGGAACACAATAATGTTCTGTGGAGATACCACGTGGGCTCTGAACTGTTCTCACTGCAGACACCAAATATTTATGATTATTATTGTATTTGTTTTATTAGCAAAGTCACACATTTCCCCTTCCCTCTATTGATTCACCAGAGTTAAAGAAAACAGCATCAGCTCAGTCTGTTTAATCTGTCCCCAGGCATGACAGAGCACAATATTTTTCTCTTTGCCATTAATTGGAGATGGGGTGGCAAGAGAGCTTTCTCCATTTCCAGCAATTAGATTAGGCAGAGGCATAAGATACCTTAGGTGATAATTAATTAATGCTGTGCTTAAAAAGAAATAAAGGTGCAGTGCGTGCAAGCACAAGGATGTGGAAGTCCACCTTTAAGGATCACTTGGAATGTTCCCTCCCTCAAGTGTTTCTTCCCTCAAGTGGGAATGCTAGTGAGGTTACAGTACCTATCCCCTGTAAAGCTGAAACCCCCAACAGCAGAAGCTCCCTGTTTCCGGTTCTCCTGTCTCTGCCCTTTGGCCTTAAGGTAAATCAGCCTTCCCATCCATTCGGAGGAAGGAAAATCCATGTCATGAGTAGCAAAGAAGCAAAATGTCCAGCCTACATAGCAATGCTGTGTACTTCATTACTTTAGAGGCTTTAGGGTGGGAAGACCCTACTCCATCTCTCCAGTCTTCTGCTCCTGAGGTTTGCAAACCTGGGAGTTTGGTGCAGGGAACCTAACACAGGGAAGAGGGAACAGCAAGAGATAGTGGGAATATGTGACCGAGATAATTCTTTCTATCTCTGCCTGGGCTCAGGCCAAGCAATCCAGAAGCACAGGATCTTGAAGATCCTTGAGGGGAAGATCCAGGCCAAGCCACTGACATTCAACAGTAAGTGCTGGAATAAAACCTGCCAGGTCTTACAGGACCAAATCATTGTTTATAGCACTGGAATTCTGTAAAATATGTAGTGAAGGGTACCTTTACAACCACCTTAAGGAGAAGAAACGAAGACATTGGAGTGACTTGCACGTATTCACATAGGAGAATCAACACTAGAAATCAAAAGTTGTGCTAGCTGTGTGGCTTCCATGTAAAAAACAATATTCCAATTTGCTTACTTATTGGGGGTAAATTGGGAATGGGTGTCCTGATAATTTTATGGTCACAGCATCATAATGTCAAAAAAAATGAAGACCAACAGGAAGGTCTATATCACATTAAATTCACCTATATATATAGCAAAGGGCATATGCACTAGGGTTTCATGATTTTGTGGCTGGAGTCTGTAGAGAAACATAATTTCAGTGACAGCAGCACACAGAAGACTGACTGACAGTTTCCTTACCTGCATTTCTGTTGAAATTAACTTTTGAAGCCTATTAGAAAAGTACTGGCCTAAGACAGAAAATTGTGAGTAACTTTGTTATTTTGTCCTCTTAGCTGCACACAGTGTAACTCCCAGAGCACTGCTAGCCTGGCCTGGGGCCTGATGCCACTGCCTCTTGCACCATGAGCCAGAAGCACCCTTTCAGGGAAAGCCAGGTCCAGAAGTCTGGGGACAGGCACCCAAATCCAAAACCACCAAACCTCCAGCATGTGAAAAGTGGTCTCATGACCTTCGCAAGGGATCAATAAACCCATTGCTAAAGTTATGGGGGTTCTTTTGATTTACTAATACAAAATCATCACATTTATGGTTGGTTAGGACGCCATAACTTTGTGAATATCTTCAAGTGAATAAATTCCTAGTGAGAATCCAGGTGCTTCCGGAAATGAGGTCTCCAGAGGACATATTTGAATGGCAGGCTGCAGAGCCATTTCCAGTTGCTCGCTCACAGACTGTGGAGTGTGCAGTATGTGAACAAACCTCCACCCTCTGGCTCACCAGCCTGCTCACCAGCGATACTCTGGTCCTCAGTACTGCCATGTCTGTGCAGGAATGTGCCCCCAGCAGCAGTCTGGAGCCCTGCGCTGGCTGCTCAAGGCTTCCCTCACATTGCACATGCAGAGGTACACACCTAGCAACACAATTTACACCTGCAAACTTCAGGGGAGGTGATTTCACTGGGCAGCAGATACAGCTAACAGAAAAGGGCACATCTGAGACCCCATCTCTCCTCAGACCTGTGGTGTTGTTACACAGACTATGCCAAAGGGTTAGTCTGCTGTCAGAAATCACAGCCCTGAAAGTACCTCTTTACCCCTCTCCCTTCCTTACAAAAGGCAGAACATGCACGACAAAAGCATCAGCACATTCTTTACTCTGCATAACAGAAAATCATTCAGTTCTCTCGTTGCAGGGGAACCAAACCACTCCCTGGAGAGGTCCCTCCCAGAGGCAGGGTGGAGGGTTATCCTGGCTACCAGGAGGGATAAGGCTGTAGGGGGAGTCCAGCCAGACTCTTCCATACTCTGTCTCTCTGTGAGCCCCATGGTGCCCTGGGTGAGTGCTCACCTGGAGGAAAGGAGCACTTAGGTTCAAAGACCAATACCAAACCAGAATATTTTCTGCTCTACTTCTCATATAGGTCATTTGTGATTCAAAACAGATTTGAAGAAAGGGCAATTATAAAACCCTTAATGTGCTATTAAAATATTTATAATAGCTCAGCTTCCCAAAACACACAGATCTCTTTGGACCACATAGACACCATCATTGTGCAGCTAGCCACAAGGTATTCACCCAGAACTGCTAACAACAGCATGAAGTACCTTACATGCATTGATGCATTTGGTTCTAAAAAGAGTAAGATATAGCCTATATCTTGGACTATAAATGGACTAAATTCAGCTCTAAATTAATGATACTGTGTTCATTGTGAGTGAAAACAACAACTCTTTCTTTATGTTTACTGTCTACTTTGATCAGTAATTGAAGAAATTTTTCCTCTACTCAAAAAAAATAGAGTGCAAAAAGGTCTGTCAACAACAACTTACTGGGTTTGGAAATGCTGTTCAAGGTGACCACGTTGCACGACCTCTGAGCAGTGTTCTGTGAAAGGGCAGCTAACCATTAGCTTATCCAGGAGGTTATTCACTAGTATGCTGGACTTCCTGCACGTCTGGAGAATCACAAGCTTGCGGTCCATGGGGCAGAAGTCTTTTTCCACAAGGAAGTTTGTAAGGCAGGCTGTGCAGAAGGTGTGACCACAGAGCGTGTCTAATGGCTGAAGCAAAGGTTGCAGGCAAATGTGGCATATCAGATCATCATCTACTTCTTCGGTGTAGCTGTACAAGTGGTTTTCTTCCGGTAAATGCGCTTGGCCGCAGGTGACACAGAGTGGCGGGGAACTGTCCTCCATTTCTTCTTCTTTCTGGCTCATAATCAGAATTGATGCAATTCAAAAGGGGGCAGGTGGGAATACCCAACGTGTTTGCTATTTGTGACAGCTGTAGCAAGGCTTTTGTGCTGTCAGATCTGTGGGGAGGAAAGGCAAAGGATTATGTTCTGGGTTGTGTTTTTGTACCATACTTGCAGTATGTATCTGGATATGAAGCAGTATATCAGGCATTAGGAAAGGGTTGTGTCTTTGGGATTGGAGAGTAAAGCAAAGAAGGGGGCAGGAAAACCAGATAATTAGCTGCAGGGACTTATTTTCCCATAAATCTAGCTTAATTTACACAGATACTTTCATTGTAAAGAAAGATATCAAGATAGGGAGAAGTACTACAGGTATTTAATGGCTGAAAACCTTAAATTAGCATACAGTTCCAGTCAGACAATTTTGTGGCCACATTACTTTTGCCAAAAAACTAGCATTGTGTGTGGGCAAACACTGCAAGACTGTGTGCAGAAACACAGGTAAGAACAAAGGTTGCTGGCCAAGTTGCCTGTTCAGCGCAGCAAGGGAGAGCAGCAGCTTCACCTAATACATACAAGCATACAAACACTGTATGTGTAGCCAGAGGGAGGATAATTTGGGTCATGAGAATTTAGAGCTTGGGGCCCTGTAGACCATTCTTATACTACAGCAGCAATGGACCTGGACCCCTGCATTCAAAGCTTGCCTGCCTTCAGTCAAGCAGTTACAACCATCTGTGCCAGCATAATCAGTTCAAAACTTCATTTGCTCTGCAAAGAACCAAACACTTCTCATAGTGAGGTCCACAGCACAATGCTAAGCAGTGTATTGCTCAAAAGAAGGCCTATTCCCTTTAGAGTTTGTAATACAGAAACACAGTATGACCCTAACTACAAACCCAATTAGCTCTGGTCACAACACCTGCCTGCTGGTATTTTAAACATATAAACTCTCTGGGTGGCAGCAAAACCGAAGAGTAATTTGTAGTTTTTACTTGATGAACCCCAACTGATTGTTGGAGCACTAATGCCTCATTACTTCTATGCTTAATTTGATACACCACTCTGAAAAATAAACATGAAGATATAAAATATGCAATGGCCAAATTACTGCTCTTGCTTGAAAATGTAAATGTTATTTGCTGCTCTGCCTTAACACTGTACCCTTGCTTTCAGCTTGACTTAATTTGCCTAGACAATGTGTCAGCCTCAGACACCCTTGTCTGAGGGCAAATGAGGGAAAGAATAATAAGAAAAATCTGACTATGACAGAGCATATTTTCATATAAATAAACCCTTATTTTTATGCAAAGCTCATGGGCTCTAAACCTGAGAAATTAAACTTTAACATGGCAGGTTTTTCTGACATGAAGGTAAAATAATAGCCCCACTAACACTAACCAGATGTTTAAATGTCAAACATTCTCTTCAGTGTTTTGCTAGATCCTATTCTTATGAAGCAATTATGTTAAGTGCCCTGTTTTTGCTTGCAAGAGAGACTTCTGCATAAGCTCTGTCTCCTTATTAGCAGTAGCTTCACTGGAATTAAAATCATTGCCTGTTAGAACCCTTGCAAACATTTAAAATCTGCCACAATGGGACAAATGTTTCTTTTTGTAAAGATATTCACCAGAGTTTTATGCAAAGCTATTTGCAAAGAAACAAACATATATGTATAGTGCAGATGTAATCTTAATATAGGAATTAATATTTAATTCTACTAAGGTGAGACACAGCAAAATAAGATGAAATAAAGAGTTGTCAGTGGCTGTGGTGGAGACTATTTGAGCACTGTGAGTGGCTCCTATAGGAAGCTCTTGGATAACTTCTAGATGAGGTGGGGTGGCTTTGAGCGGGTGTCCAGCTGCTCTCCACATCCCTCTCTCATGGAAGGAACCTATCTCAAGTCAACAGGACAGCTTGCAAGAATGGCAACACAGGGCTTGGGAGCTTGCATGATTCTTAAAATAGATGTAAAATTAATTAGAAACCAATAAAGCATGACAAAAATTGCACTGTGCTATAAACTTCGTTTTCTCTTACATTTTCAGAATGCCTTGCACCTGGGGTAACCAGGACTGTGGGCAATATCATGCTGTTTCTCCACTTGCCTGCTATGTCCTCTTGTACCACCACACACAGGTACTTCCATGTGGGTGCTTGCCCCATGCACCACACACCAAAATACAGCCAACTTCAACATTTTTTTGCCTCATGAATGTTCTCAAGGACAGATTTCTTGCTTCTTGCTGGCAGGAGACCCAACACACAGCTCCCCTCAGCCAACCTGAAAGCTAAAGCCAAAGCTCTGCTCTGAGGAAAAAGCAGCCCCCAGGAACAGGAACATGGGCTTCTGAGCGGCCCCTTCCCAACCTCATGCCCTAACCCTGAAAGTTCCACTCCTCTGCTTCCACATTTACAACACAGCAGGACACCTGATACAATTTAGGTACAGCTGGAAACAGTACTACAGCTCCAAAGCTACTGCAATTATTTTCACAAAGACAGCAGAGAAAGAGAGGCACCACTGCCCTAAGGCCATGTTCTGCTGCAGCAAATATGATGAGAGAAGCCCCAGAGGAGACAAAGTCTCACTGTCCTGCCCATGTTACAGATACTCTTTATCAATCTGACATACTAATAATGCAATGTTAGTGGGAAAGGGCAGGTGTGAGGAGCTGTACCTGAATTTTACAATGGCTATGTAAATTACAAATAGTTGCTACAGCACAGGAAGCAAAACTATCCACATTTATTAGTAACAGGCACTGAATTTTTAGAATTTGAAATTCAAGTCCTATGACATCTATTATTTAGAAAATTTTGACTACATAATAATATAAATTCTGGGGAAAAACCCAACAAATCTCAGTCCCTTCTGGCTAATCTGGCCCACATTCACCCATGAACCTTCATAAATTACTGGACATATCAAGAAATGGAATGAGTACCATCTTTGGGGAGTGATTATACCACCAAAAGAGTTAGCATGGAGGGTGTGTGATGGAACTGTTACACAGATTCAGTCAGAGGCAGATGTTCTTTGCAATGTTTGCAGTCACTTGTATTTATAACACTTATGTGCTATCATATAATAGTTACATAATTAATAACATGTCCTTTTAGGAAGCTTAAAGTCTTAATTCTTGAACACTGTAGAAGAGAGGGGAGAAGGGATTTAAATTCGACCTATTGATTACTAGTGCATATTTCTACTCCTTCCATTACAGATTAATAAAAGAAAAAATACACTTGGAGCAAGAAAACCTGCACAAGTAGATGGTAAACCACAGGGAAATAGGAAGGGTAATAATTTCCTGCATGAACCTCTATTCTTCAAGCCGCATCCTTGAGGGAGGAAGAGATGGGAAAACAGAGGGGATGAACCCTATGTTCATTTGAGTTGGTGTTAGCCACCACTGGCAGCATCAGTGGGACAAGGATGTCACCTTGGCAGTCTCATGCTTCTTGTAGTCAGAGCAATATTGACAGAGGGTGGTTCTTGCAGGGATTATTGGCAGGAGAAGCTTTTAGAGGCAGTGGTGGTGCCATGCCAAAGCAGACATCACCAGCATTTGCCACTTCCCTGCTGTGCAGGAAGTTTTCAGCAAGTCAGGTCCCAGACTTAGCATAGTTTTACAGCACTTAGCACATATTGGCTTGGATAAAGAAAATCAAGTACTGATTCGTAAGAATGTCACAGTGTTGTGACACTGGTGAACCAAGCTTCAGTCCAAGGCAGAGACCTGAAGCACAAGAACACAGTGCAAATGATGAACGAAGAACATTGTTATCTGGATATCCCTATTGCCAAGTTTTCAGCCACAAGTTGTAATGACAATGGTCACATCAGGGCATAAAATAACCCCAGGGCTGTGACCACAGTGTAAACCACTCTCATGATAACACATTTTAAAAAGTTATCCAACAGACTGCACTGATTCGAAGGAGTTTGCATCTTACTGGTCTTCACTGCTTAGGAATTTGCAGCCACCAGAAGCATTTAAGAGAACAGAACAAACCCACACAAAAAGCCTGGGCAGTAAACACAAAGAGTAGGTAAAGAGAATGCCTTTCATTTCTGTTGGGGGCTTGCAATAGCAAGCCCATAGCTGTCCCATTCCAGTGAAGCATTTAACCAATCTTAAGCTTAAATACTGACTTACCACCATGGTTACACTGGCAGCAGTGTAGAAGGAAGAGGGCTTGCCAAGCAGAGCGGCAGAACCCCACTGCCTCTGCCCAGCCACAGTCAAATATTAACCCAGCAGTTCAGGAGGTGGCACTTGGAAGTTGCATGGCACAAAATGGGAACAACTTCAGGTAGCAAAAAATGAGTAACAAAAGCTAAAAGAAAAATAATTAAGTGATGAAAAATATTGAGGAAGTGGCTATCACAGAAAGAATAAAACAGATGCCTAAAGGCCAGAGAAACAGTGACATGGAGCCTGGAGGAGCAGCTACCAGCTTAAATCACAAATGGAGAAAGATAAGCCTATGAGCAGGAGTTGCTGGAAAACAGAGGAGCAAAAGACATGAGCTGGAGAATAGTAAGAGGAGTTTAGCTCCAGTAGCTCTGAAGCAGTACAGCTTGGTGGTAATGAAATCTTCAGTCAATGGTAAGAGTGGCTAGCATGTATAAAGAAAATGGATTCTAAATAGCACAGTAAGATTGACAAATATTAGTTGATTTGGGGTTTGGTTTACCTTGGCTTTCTCTATGTGTTTAAGGGATACCTTTTACTAATGCTCCTGTTTTATACACACTCAGAGCATGTGTATAACAAATCCTGTATCTGCTGATTAAAACAGATACATTTTCACACCCTGTTTCTCTGCTGTACAACCTGTAGGAGGTGGAGGTTCCACTTGACAGACCTGTTGTGCTCTTCTTAGCTAAATTATGATAGCAAAGTCATTCTGCATTCTTCCCCCAGTCCCAGCATGGGTTATCTCCTACAAATGTGCATCTCTGGGTGACTCACAGCCATCCATTTATGTGGGTCAGTAAGGCACCATATGGCCAAAGGGGGTGTGCAGGTGTGCAAGGAAACCACTCTGCAACAGCAGCATTCACAGCTTCCAGGTTAGGGTAGGAGCTCCTTACTCTTCCAGAG